GAACATCAGAATCTGGTATGCACAAACTCATCTTGATTAAGAAGGAAAAGATGAAGAAGATGAACTATTCTTGGGTAAAAAGAAAAAAAAATGTGGGAGGAATACGGTGGAGAAAGATATATATATATATATATATATATATATATATATATATATATATATATATATATATATATATATATAGAGAGAGAGAGAGAGAGAGAGAGAAAGTATTTTATTTTTAATTGTTTTTAATTATTGTAATAAAAGAAAAATGAAAAATAAAATAATAAGAGGCAAATCCGTCATTATAAAAAAGTTCATAGGAAATTGGACTAAACTCGCAACAAAACGAAACTATTTGACCATCCTTGCGAGCCAAACTCATTTTGGACAAAAGTTGCTAGTTTTGACATACCATAGGGACCATTCTTGCAATTTTGTCTTCATAGAAAGATTGAATACAAAGAAACATTAAAACATCTATGTAATACATATCATATATATATTAGCAAATTAATATTTTTTATTAAGAGAAAAACATACATTTAATATTAAACATTTATGCATAAGGGAACACGGAGTCAGTTTAGATGGTTTAGATGATGGGTTGTGGCAGTACCGACGGTAATGTCGGTGTGTAGTTCCGACTAAAATCGGCTTCAGCGGGTTATCACATTTAATTCAATGAGCGGGTATACCAACCCGTTAGCTGTTTCGGATGTATTCAATATACGTGTCATTTAAAGAATCAAAACAGAAGTTGCATGCATGTGTCAACATAAATGTGATAATTCAATTGAATTGATTTCTTTCATGCCATTTTTTTTGTATTTTGCTCCATATGTGACATGTTTTATTTTTTTTGTTTTTTCTTTTATATAACTTTGTAAATATTTATGAGATAGAATACTCACACTTTATTCAACATAACTTTCTATAACTTTGTGTTGTGTTTGAGAAATTTTATACTCGTTTAATTCCTTCGGTTGCTTTCAATGGATTCCCAAGGAAAAAGGTAAACAAATCGGTTATAACCAAAGACGCAATTCCAAGCAAGGCGGTTCAAGTCAAGAAATTCAATTTTCTTCTTCAGGATTTCAAAACCAAACTATCAACAATACCAAAACTACCAACAAACCAAAATTATCCACAACAATATTACCCAGTACAACAAGCTTACAACACATTTAAGCTTTCAAAGGAAAATCTGAGTTATAATCCATATAATCAGTTTTCTCAAAGGGTTCCAGAAACCCAATTTCAATCTTCTTGACCCAAGAATTTCCAGTTCCGTGATTCTCAGAACGTAAAATCTTACAGTTCTAGTGGTAACTCGGTTCCCAAAAGAAACGAAGAAGAAGCCGACGAGGAGTTGCAACCCGTTGCTGAGAAAAAACGCAACTATACGAATCGCCATAAGTTAATGAAATGAGTGGAACGCGAAGAGTTGGCATTGGCTAGGGCATATGTCGATTGTTTTGTAGATAAACATCGCAAAAATCAACAAAGGATCGATTCATTTTGGAATCGGGTTCTAGAGCATTTTAATCTTCAAATTGGAGGTTCGAATCGGTCACGACACCAAGTAAACTCAAAATAGAAAGACCTCCAAAAGAAATGTAACGCTTTCAATTGCATCTATAACCATAGGATGAATAGTGTGGCTAGCAGGAGAGATGAGGCTGATGTTTTAAAAGCTTCACAGAGCGAGTATCGAATGACTATTAATCATAAAGCTTTTCCTCATCAAAAAGCTTGGGAGTGTTTGAAAGACAACATGAAATGGGAATTTGTTCCAAAAGTTGGTGAAGACTCCGCCTACACAACATCTTCTGATGCATAGCATCCTCCCGGATTCCCCTAATAACAATAGTCGTTTAATGTTGAAGGAAAGAAAGCGACATCGGCATCGTCAACACAAAATGAAATGTATGCTCTTGTCAACCAAATTGTCGGCATCCACATTGCAACCAACAAAGAGGTGGAACAGAGACAACGGTACTGAGAACAAAAATTGTGCATTCTTAAAGCTAATAAAGAACAGAAAGATCAACTGTTGGAGTGGGAGATAGAGAACCAAGATATGGAGTATTTTCTCCAACCGCATGATCATTTGACTGGAGCTATTTTTCGCATGGTGCTTGAAAGGAAACAACAGATTGCAACTAAATATGGTTCGGAGTTGTGGAACCCATAAAGTTCAGAATCTCGGCATCATTTAACTGGATAATCTTTTTCTTTTTCTTTTTATTAGGATTCTATTATGTACGCTTTTGACATTATAATCTTTTTCTTTTTCTTTTGAGAGGCCAATAAATGAGGGGTGACCATCAGTATCCAACAATGATACTAGAAAAGGTGGCGTCACAAGATTTCTGGTTGTGGCATACATATTATGGTGTAATAGGTTCGAACAATGATCTGAACGTCCTCTACCAATCACCACTGATAGATGAAAAATATCATGGAACAGGAGCCGATTGTTCATTTTATCTAAATGGTGAACACTACAAACATGTTTACTATCATGCGGATGGAATATATCCAACATGGGTTGTATTGGTGAAGGCTTATCCACATCCAGTAACCAACAAAAAAATGCTTTAAGACGACACAAGAATTAGCAAGAAAGGACGTAGAACGTGATTTTGGGGTCCTTAAAGGACGTTGGGACATATTAAAAATGTCTGCACGTGCTATGACGGTGAAGAAAACAAGAAATATAATGTACAATTGTATTTTACTACACAATATGATACTGCATTTTGTGAATATCCAAGAAATATTCCTTCATCAGCTTTAACTTGAAAATTTTGAAAGACGATCTTTCAAATTCATGATGAAACACCTACAACCAAAAAATGAAAAAAATTTACATTAGGTTTCCTTTTGTTAATGATATCATATGGGGTGATATTAAATCTTCGATGTATGAAAGAACAATTTTCAGTGAAACAAGCAGTAGAAATTGCTTTAGCCCAATAGTATTGAGGTACTTTCGTATATGTGAGCATTGTTCTAGCTGCTTCACACAATGATCGATTTATTTTTTCCATAACTCCATTCTGTTGAGGTGTATATATGGAGCTGAAAGATTATGAGAAATTCCATGACTGATATGAAATGAATCAAGAACACGATTCCTGAATTCTGTTCCATTATCAATTCTAATTCTCTGGACTATCTTTTTCAAGCTTACTTCAATGCTTTTGATGAAGTCAATCATGACTTGATCCGTTTCAGACTTTTGTTAAAGAAAGTATACCCAAGTAAAACATGAAACGTTATCTACAATGACCAAAATATAATTCTTCGTACTAATTGACTCAGGTGTCGAAGGTCCACATAAATTAATATGTAGAATCTCTAAGAGTTCAACGATCTTCGAGTCAATGACAGTTGGATTTCTTTGTTGTTGTTGTTGTTGTTGTTTTCCTTGTTCACAATTTGCACACAAGGAATCATTGTCAAACTTTAAACTTTAGTACAGGTAAACGTCTAACTAAATCATTTAGAATAAGCTTATTAAGATTTCTAAAATTCAAGTGAGAAAGTATTTGATTCCAAAGCCAACTTAGATCTAAGGAAGTCTTTAATAGTAAGCAAATTGAAGGTAAACCAACAATAGGCTTCATATCTAGCGTAAACATATCTCATTTTCTTTTGGATTTTAGCAACACTTTGTTTGTTATCTTGTTGGAGATGACACTTCCTTCCTCATCAAATAGCACTTGATTTCCAGTTCATGTTGTTGGATTAGGTGTCTAAGCCAATAATTGAATTGATATATACTTGAATTAAAATCAAAGTCCTTTTGGGTTGCCTTCAAATCTAGTAACCGACTAGAATGACTTTTGGAGAGAGATGTTGATTATTGATTTATTATATGACTAATAAATAGCAATAAATAATTTATTAATATATTATGAGATTAATATATTAATTAGAAATAGTATTATTTAATTAATAATTAATCATAAATTAATTGGAATTAATTTGATTGATTAAAAGTGCAAGGATCTAAGCTGTAATTGTTCAATAGTTGAACAAGAGAAGAATTCTAGAGGATTCTAGGGGAGGCCGAAAATTTGAAGACTCCTTAGGATTTCTAGATTATTCTATATAGATAATATGGATATTAAGGAAACTAGATAAATACAAGAATTGAAATAATATTATTTTATTTCAAATTAAGGTTATCGAGGTTTTTCCTTTCACCTATAAATATGGGTCTTAGCATTACAATCATTGGCCACTTGATATCCTAGAAAGATTGCCAAAAATCATCTCCCATTTTCTCTTTCTCCTCAAGTGTTCTAATTGCTAGGGTTTGGGTACAAACCATCAGATGCACGAGATTTCTAGTGCTTGCTTTCTAGAGTTTGTTCAAGAAGGATTTTATTGATTATTTACAACAATAATCAAAAGGTATGTAAACCCTAATCCCTTTGTGAATTTCGATAATAGTAGGGTTTTCCTAGGGTTATTTGATGTTCATAGATTATAGCTATCAATAGAGAACACTTAGATCCAAATAGGTTGCATGTGAAATTAAGGGTTAAGTTTTTTTCACCATATGATTTTAAATATAACCTATAAAATCCATCAGTGGTATCAGAGCCATATGTTTTCTATTTGGTTGTGCATAATATTGAATAGATCAAAATTAGGGTTTATGGAAATTAAACCCTAATGTCCATGATTTTCGACTTGGCTAGGATTTCTTGAAACCCTAACGTCCCTAACTCTATTTCGAAAACGGGGGAGCATTTTTAGGGTTTTATATTGTTTCCTTAATTATCATTTTAAAATCCTTAAATTTTGAATTATTAAACCTGATAAACCCAACCCCTTTTTTTGATAATTAGGGGTTTGGATTAGGATAAAATTTGAATTTATTTTATTAATTGTTTGATTTTAATAATTATTTAGTCCCTATATGATTTAGTTAATCTAATTAGTTGTTTAATTAAAAGATAAAGATAAATCATATATGGTTTAATATTAACTAGAAAAGGAGCCCATGCTCCGCATGGGTCAAGAATTTTCTTACCGACGCATTCAAAATGATGGCAACAAACAACTGTAGATGAAAAAAATAGAAGTTGATACACTTATGACCAAAATTACAATTATACCCCTTTTGTCCCTTATGTTGAATTATGGTTTCTGATGCAGCCCCCTCTGTGAACAATATCCTCCTGTTGACCAATATACCAAAAAGATTAAAATTATGAAAAACCATTTCAAAGTTATGATCATCATAATTGCATCTTTTTAAACATCCCATTTTTTGGTTTCTATCTGCAAATATTCCAATCATCATGAATTACAACATAGCCCTTGCCCCTATGTATTTTTTATCCTCTCCTCTTGTAAAATTTGAAATTTATAAATTTATGGTTTTTATGCTTTCTGATGAAGATTGTCTCCATATCTACGGGTCCAATTTCAACCATGACCATAGGAGCTATTAGAGTGTTTGAGAGAGTACAATGAGTAATCGTGATCAATTGATGAAGCATAATGTCGATTTACCTGTGGAACCGATAAATATAAATCAATGCTGAGAGCGACTTTAGTAGAAGCAGTATATCCCACCTACAGAAGCACAACAATTTTAGAATCTACCAAAAAAAAACCCTTGTTCTTCATGGATTCAATTCAAATTGAAAATTAAAATTAAACAATTTTTTTTGATCAATTTACACATGTTCCAAATTCGGAAAAATCCACAAATCGCAACAGCTGTAGAAAGAAAAGAAACTTCATATTGTGCAAAAAATTCAAAAAAATTCAAAACTGAATCACCACCTAAGCAACATTCAAAAAAATCATTCAGGTACAATAGCAGTAGAAAGAAAAGAAACTTCATATGGTGCAAAAAATTAAGAAAAATGAAAAAGTATATGAGCGTATACCTGGAAATCCGAAATCTGCTACTAATCTGGTGCAGTTGTTAGTGGTCGCTGCCGGAATCTTGGGGTGGGCCATCACTGAAATATCAATTAATTCAATTTGTTATTTGGAGTATTTTCCGATTAAGAGATTCAGTTTGATAACAAATCAAATGAAAATTAAAGTGGCGTTTTAAGCATACCATACACTCATGTAAGCAAAATATAGTTGATCCGTGCAACAACTTCAGTCGAATCAGATACATCTTTATGACACTGCACTTATGAAATATGAGTATAAATAAACATAAAAATCGAATTAATAGAGAAAGTAAAAAAGAATAAAACTTTCCCAAATACATGCCTTGTAACATGAATTCATCCTGCTTCCAACCTAGTTCATAAACCTTATAATGCACCAAAAAAGATCTATGATCAATTAAAACGTTCTCAAATATTGTATTCGTGTAAATATACTTACATGTGACTTTTGGATGAGCTGTCAATACAATACGGGTCATCAGCAAAATTTGTGAATTGAATGTAACAGAATTCTATTGGCAAAAAGCAGATACCAAAATGTTAGCTTATCTACAGATGTAAAACATTACAACACTATCTATTAATAATTCAATAGGATTGATGAAGCCAAAAATTATTTAACACAATCACAAACTGCAGCAAGGATTACCAGGTAAGATGACCAACAATACTCATTTTATAATTAGAAAATACAAACATGGGTTGAATTCTCTCTGAAACATTTCATCAAACAACTTGAGTGCATCATAAACTCATAGTTTAAGAAGACACATATGTATTATTTCATCACCCAAACAGTTTTTCATAACATCTAACTCAAAAGGAAAAAGCTTCATTAACGATTGACTTATACAACAATGTAAAATTAAGCAGAATTAAGACAATTTTGAACGGGAAATCAATACATAATCATACAAAGTTGAATATTCTAATATGTATTAAAAAAAAATTTTGATTTGTTTTACAGAACCCAAAACGTGTTTAGTAGAGAAAGAATGAATAAGTTGAGAAAGATGTAGAGGTAGAAAGAGGAAACTTACCTGTGATTCATCAAGAGGAGCACCAAACGTAAAGCGTAGTCCTTCAACTGTCATCAGGGGTATTATGTTTCTTTAGCAGCCTGGAAAGGAGATTCTTCAATTACTGGTTCTAATCGAGAGAAACAAACAAAATATAATTAGAAAATGGGAAAGAAGAAGCAGAAGGCGGAAGATGCAGTTATCGGGTGAAATATATTTTGTCTCCATCACCTCTGATTCGGAACTGTTAGGGAAAATCTCAACCATTTCTCAGTTCAAGTGCGTTCCTTCTTCGACCATACTGTAATCGAAAACAGATATGGTAATTAGGCGATAGTGATAACCCCCATACAAGAAACGAAGCCAAATAACGAATACCAGGTACCAGGAAAAGCAAAAGATCGAATTCCTTACCGCGTAGTGAGTCCGGCAGGAGCGATGGTCTTCATCAAGCCCTAATCGCAGGTCCAGATTAGGCGGCTGATGGTAGTGACGATCGAGGTAAAAAAATATGACAGTGGTGGCGTTGGCCTCTGTCAACGTTTTCTCGAGCTGCTTCTCCACCTGTGGCGACTCCTTCCGTCATCAGAATATTGGAGTGAACTCCTTCCGTCACCGCCTTCTGTTTATGAGAATAATCGGAAAGGAAGACGCAATATCCCCAAAAGACTACCGAAGGCAGAAAAGGAACAAAAACCCCAGAAACTACTGAGGTCTTTAGGCGGTGAAGTCGATTAAAGCGAGTCACTGGAAGCGGGGGCAAGAAGAAAAAGCAGATGAAAAAATAGGGTGTAAGCAGTGATTCTTGAAAGAAGGGATGACACCAATCGTAATGTTATTGGCTTACCGAGTAAGGGAGGCGGTGGAGGAGATAAAAGAAAAAGAATATTGAAAATGGCAAAATATGACCCTTTAAAAGAAACGACCAAGAATTATAACCACACATATAGACTCTTTAAAAGAAACGACCAAGAATTGTAACCACACATATAAAGAGAGTGACCATTTCTACCAACTTGTTAGGAACTTCACTGTTCCTAACTTCCATTTCTTTAATATATATACTAGATTGGTAACCCCCACTTTGCGGAAGGCAGAGGGAGCAGATGTGTTCCTATGATATCGGTTGTAACCTTTGTTCAAGATATTTCGTATCTATTTAAGAATCTGTTAATAGAGCAAATAATTATATTAGAGAATAAGGATCAAAAGATATTATTCATTAGAATTAGTGGTAACAGGTAAATATATTAGGCGATAAGGATCAAAATATATCATTCATTAATTGATATTCGATTACAAAAGTGTCCATTCATTAAGGGATGACTACTGGACATTTGATTAAAAAAGAGTTGGTGTGGTATGCTTCGTCATGGGGCTTGGTATTCGTCAGTTTCATGTCGTATAAGGATCCTTTGGGAATGCCTTAACCTTATGCTTCCTTATTCGATGGTATGCTTCCTTACGATCTGTTTTTCAGTTTCATGTCGTATAAGGTATTTGGTGATTAAAGGATCCTACAGATAAAGAGTTGGTGTGGTATGCTTCATCATGGGGCTTGGTATTCGTCAACTTCCGAATTCAATAAAAAAAACAGCTGTTAACAATCGGTTTCAAAGATATAAAAAATTTACTTGCAAATAGTTCATATTCGTCAACACCCGAGCAATGATATCCGCTCTACTATGGGGATCGGTTTGGCGATGTATATCCATATAGCGGGTGATCTCTGGCCACTTCACATTGCATGTAAACGTGATAAAGTATTGTGGGTTGCCATACACCCTACATATGGAAAGCGCATCTAGATAATGATTGTACATGAAGCGGGGAACACCAGTAAATGACGCGGGCAAAAAACACGTTTCCCAACAGCACCTGCCTCTGTATCACCCTTAGAAAGCGCATCGTAGAGTCCACTAACATAATCCGCTATATAAAATAAAGGAGGTGTTGAAGCCTTGGCCGTAGAAGCAAGCTGGAAACAACAAAATCACAAAACCATAAAAGACACAATAAGCAGTCTAAAGGAGGTCCGGATTCGTAAACTTTTTTTGGTCCTACATGCAGGAGATTTGGAGTGAACGTGTTGCGGGGTTTGGAAACCATCGGTTGATTGTAAAACGGATCATGTTTGTCATTTTTTTTGTGCATCTGTTACACTCCAAATCCAAGTACTCAATAAACAAATATTTACTTTTTGATGCATAAAATGATAGTAGAGTAACCTACAGATTTGGTGCATGGTGATTATCCCTCCAATTCTAGTGATATCAAGTGGTAAAATCTCACCTTCATTACATTAAAAGTGAATAATTAGAAGCAAAAGAAAGAAAAATACATTCAAAAAATTACAATAAACAATGTGGGTTAAATGCAAGAAAAAGCAATACACTTCCAATTTTTTCCAAAATCTCACTTCTTGATTCCATTTACCTCAGCATTCCGACTTTCATCAGCTACTGCAGAATGCAGATGTATTCATTTGAATTTCAGCCCCCTAAAAGAGTTGCAAACCAAAAAACTATAAGATTGTGACAAACCAATAATTCATGTATATTCGGATAACAGGTAAGATCATAAAAATAAAATTTATATTGTATAAACTAATGGTTTATTTAATTTTCACTATACCTTTTGTAGATACCATAAACGTAATAGAGAAATTTTATGAATGAAAAAATATAGACAAAAACAAAATTAATATATATATATATATATATATATATATATATATATATATATATTAATTATGTAACACCGTAATTTTTCAAACAGATTTTTCATTTTAAAATCGCATACTTTTCATAACAAATTGTATGGAAATCTCGTTTATTAAAATTACAAAACACAACTCCATTAAAAATCCAGGATCCTCAACATAACTCTTTCTCTGGTGTGTACAATCAAGCCGGTACCTTCCCGCGATCCTCTGAGATACCTGAAACACATAACATATATCACGGTAAGCACAAAGCTTAGTGAGTTCCCCAAAATACCACATATAACACATATTAGCCACTCGAGGCTATAACTCTGTGGGCCCACTGGCCCTAACTCTATGGACCCTCTGGTCCTAACTCTGTGGACCTTCCGGTCCTAACTCTGTAAACTCTGGAATACACACAGCATAAATCACATAGAAATAATGCAGTGCATCACATCACATACATAGCATACAAGATACTCTGTCACATAACTCTAATTACCACTCATGGTAAAGTATAGTGAGAAGACTCACCTGACCAACAGCAAGTAAAGACCCCGCTCCCGGATTTCGAACTAGCCTCCACCTAACACAAGGGATAAATATCTCTAAGTGATACTCTAATCACAACTCTAATGACCAAAGGCTATTCTTCCTCTCTTTAACTCTTTGAAGTGGATAAAAGACCATTTTACCCCTCCATGGTCTCTACTACTTATGTTGATCAAAGCCCCAAAGTCAACAGAAGTCAAACTCGAGTCAACAATCCATGTTTGACCCGACTCGCCGAGTGCACCCTTGCGACTCGTCGAGTCCACTTACTTTCCTCAGAAATCTCGTGACAGTCCAGCTCAGCTCGTCGAGTTGACCCCCAACTCGTCGAGCTATCGCCTGATTCGGTTCCTCGGGACAAACCCTAACCAACTCGTCGAGTCGGCTCATCGACTCGGCGAGTTCATTCAGACGACGTAAGGCAGATCCATCACCCCAAACACTAGATCTACCATCCTGAGGGTCGATTGTCACGTAAAGCTGCAAGCTTTACGTTTAAACATGGTATATAAGGCTCGTAATGCCATTATAACTCTAACAAGGATGATTAACCACAATAACTCTTCTATGGTTAACTAAAACTATAATTTTTGGACTCTCTGGACCTCACAAGGTCCAGATCTGAAGTTTAGGCCTCATGAGAGACCTTATGCATACAAAGTCCCAACAATGGTGGAAGAAACCCTAATCTTCCATATCTACAAGATTTAAGCCAAATAACAAGAAAGGTGCAAGCTTTTACCTCTTACTCAAGCCCTTGCACGAAGTTACACCAGATCCACTGATTCTCTAGCTCCCTTGATGGGTCATCTCCTCTTCTCCTCAAGAGATGCACTAGTTTACTCCAAGTTTTAGCTTCTAATACTCTCATGGCTCTCCATACACGTTTAGGGTTTGCTCTCAAGGAAGGGTAGCCGCAAATGAGGCTATAAGTTCCTTTAAATAGGTCTCAAACCCGGGAAATTAGGGTTTCTCTGCCCAACACCTACTCGGCGAGTCCCTCCTCGGACTCGTCGAGTCCTTCATTAAACTCACGCGATCAACTCGACTCGACTCGGCGAGTTGGTCCCTCAACTCGTCGAGTCCGTCCTCAAATGTCAAGATTTAACATACACGATAATGTCCCTGGCAATCCGGATGTTACAATTCTCCCCCACTTGAATTAGATTTCGCCCTCGAAATCACTCCTTAACCACTTACATAATGAAATCATCAACCCAAAAAGGCACTACCGAAAGGATCTCATACTACACCGATATATTTCTCTATGGACACCCGAAACCACACAAAACTCCCAAGACCATAACTGAACCAACTCTTCCGTCGCTAATATACTCCTTCCCACTATCCGGAAGCTCTAGTGGCCTGACCCGCTGCCAGACCGCCTACTCAAGCGATCACCATGATATTCGCTCCTCGAATATCAAACCCTGATAACTCACTGATCCTCTGATTCTCACAAGACCAAATCCAACAATCGACTACCGCTCACTCATATCATCATGCTAATGATCCAAATCACGCTCCAAGAAACGGAAGGGTCCACACCCCACCAGGGATCATACACTAGACTGCTATCAGAACCCATCCGAACAAAGAATCCTCAACACTCTGCCCTTCAGACACAAGAGAATAACCAGGCTCGCTCAGAAGTGTCCTCAGACATCACAATCACAAGTCCCAGCTTCGTTCTTCATACCCCTTTTTAATACTGAGCACTAGGTCAATTTCTGACTCCACAGTTGAACCTCCAAAGGTTACCCATTGCACACCTCAACATGTCTCACTGACTTCATTCCCACACTAGCTATCTCGGCCCAGTGTGACACACAAGTCACGAAGTTCGCTTTTCCTCAAGCGAATACGGAATTCGTTTCAATCTCGACCTCTGTCGTCTACTACTCATTAGTTCCATGCATTTCGCGGTTTTCTCACACCAACGAATTGACCCACTCAGGTCTAAGGCACCAGATAGGAGCAATACCCCTTTCCAAATGAAATTCAGCTCTGAATCCGGAATCTCATTCTGCCTACTCAACGCACTACCAGAGCCAAACTCAAACTCGTGAGTTCGATCTGACCCAGAGCTGGAATCACTCGCCCCAACGAACCACTCAGCTCATGACTCATGACCCGCAACCCATGCGAACCTCACTGATCCACTTCTCTTTGGCCACGAAAACCACTACTCAATTCAGAATATAACGACTTCCGACAAACATGGAGACCCCAGTCTCGCCCCTGGTTCGAACCAAGGCTTCCACACACTCAAATATTAGGGCTACCCAAGCCTAAAACTCTTCTGCGTCAAGCTCTGATCAGAGAGCACTTCATCACAACATTCTCTCGCTGACTAAGCTGACTAGTGGGTACTACGGCTCCCAGCAGTATCACAACGACCTATCGCTGAATAGTGAGTACTACGGCTCCTCGTAGCATCACCACAACCTCTCACTGAATAGTGAGTACTACGGCTCCCCGTAGCATCACCACAACCTCTTACTGAATAGTGAGTACTACGGCTCCCCGTAGCATCACCACAACCTCTCACTGAATAGTAAGTACTACGGCTCCCCGTAGCATCACCACAACCTCTTACTGAATAGTGAGTACTACGGCTCCCCGTAGTATCACCACACCTCTCACTGAATAGTGAGTACTACGGCTCCCCGTAGCATCACCACAACCTCTCACTGAATAGTGAGTACTACGGCTCCCCGTAGCATCACCACAACCTCTCACTGAATAGTGAGTACTACGGCTCCCCGTAGCATCACCACAACCTCTCACTGAATAGTGAGTACTACGGCTCCCCGTAGCATCACCACACCTCTCTGCACTGACTCATTGAAACTGCAGCTCCACGCAGTCTTACCGCACTTACTCTTACCACTTCACAATCTCATCCTCAGGTTGACACCATACCGCGATCATTAACTCATGCTCTGCGGCCCAGCATAGATAGGTACACACACCCATCCGGGCTAAGCATCACTACTTCGGACGACCATTGTCGTGACAAAACCTCTCTTTCTCGCTACAATTCACATTCTCAAATAAATCCATTTGATGTCAATTAGCTGAAGGGCCCCCCACCGGAACCATAGACACTTGATACACCACTCGTCACCTTAAACTCAAACTCAAAATAATCCGAGATTTAGGACATTGAACTCGGATACCCCGGAATACCATCACAACGCCTCGCAGTATCTTGACTCTACCACTGATCCCATACTTAGATATCGCATTGCTTCCTCGGAATCTCGCAACCGGTCTTTCTCTCGTGTCTCTTGTAACCCCAGAATACTCTATCTCCCAAATTAAAACACGGAGAATTTACCAACGACTCAGAACACGTAGATGACAATCCGAAACTTCCTCCTCTATTGCTCAAAACTCATGCAAGAATACTCATAACGGCCCTGAAGTTGGTTGCCCAATCAACTTCTTCCCTTCCCATACTACATATAATAGCCCATACTCTGAACCAGAAATTCTCAACCGCCGAACTAACCTCACAAGCCAACCACCTCGAATTCACCATTTTAACCTTGAAGGATTCCTAACCACCACAAGGTCTCCGACCAACGGCCACTTGCCGTGGAGACTCTCATCCTTTCTCAAACACGTGCCATATGCACTATTTCACTCTGCACCTCTCCTTGACCACCAAAAACCCTGGTCTTTAGGAATCCGCACCGCATGCCTCTCTATCCAGTTCTCTAATCGCTATTGAACAAATCTCGAATCTCCTCAAAAGTACCCGGTTCTCCCCCACTCAGGGTTCGAACCATCACCAATTGGTTCGCCAACAATCTAACCCACAGACTGTTTTTACCACTAACAT